CTTGATTTGAATTTAGGGAGAGGCCATTGGAGAAGGCCTGGAGAGGGAGGTCTGGGTTCCAGCGATGCCTAGAGCCCTGGAGACAGGCAGGGACGGTGCCCAGAATTGAGAGAGAGCCTTGGGAAGAGCAGGAAGGAAGGTCTGGCCAATTGACGGGTGGCAGACCTGAGCTGGCTTCACTCTTCAGCTGTCAGGGCTGCAGCTGGCACTGGGGGGCACATGGTGGGTACTGGCACCTGGTGAGCCCTGGGCAGTGGACTCTGGGCTCTACTGTAGCTGGATCTGGCCTCCCACCTGGGCAGCATGGGTCACTGAGCGTCTCTGGACCTGAACACCTGCTCCCACAGTTGGCTTAGAAGGAGGGAGTCTCTGTGGAGATGCTAGCAAGCCCTGGAGGCTGTTTCATGTTTTGACTTTCTGAGTCTGGGGTCCTGAACCATCTGAGTACAGATGCAGCCAGGCCGCTGGGGTACCAGGTGGGACTCTAGGCCACTCAAACAGGGAGGAAAGGCTGCACAGTGACTGTGCCTCTGGCCCGGTCCCAGAGCCCTGCTCCTGCTGGCCTTCCTGTTGGATCACGGCTATGCAGAAATCTCAAAGTCGGAAGAGAACTGAGGGCTGCAGGTTTCCCAGGCCTACCTTGTGCAGACCCAGAAGGGCACCTAGGGAGGGACTGTCGGACAGGGGCAGAGGCACTGAGTCCACTGTCCATTTGTCTGTCTGACAGTCTCTGCTCCTTGCCCTTCTTTTGGGTCCCTCTGCTGGACGGCAGTGTGAACTGAGCCTTTTTAGAAACTGGCACCAGGGGGAGGGGCGACACAAGCCAGTGATCCAGCACCTAACAGCCTGAGGCAGAAGGCTCCTGAGTTTGAAGCCAGCCTGGGCTATACAGTGAGACCTTGTCCCAGACCAAGCCAAACCTGATAGCTTTTACTTTTTGTTTGTTTTGTTTTTTTCGAGACAGGGTTTCTCTGTGTAGCCCTGGCTGTCCTGGAACTCACTCTGTAGACCAGGCTGGCTTCGAACTCACAAAGATCTACCTGCCTCTGCTTCCCAAGTGCTAGGATTAAAGGCATGTGCTGTCAGCGCCCGACTAACTTTTAGTTTTGTATTTTGAGATAGAATCTTGAACTTGCTAGACTACAGAGCCTGGCTTGCAATTCCCCTGCCTCAGCTTCCCTTATGACTGGGTATACAGGTCTGTGCCACAAAGCCTAGGATTTTTTTTTTTTTTTTTGGTTTTTTCGAGACAGGGTTTCTCTGTGTAGCTTTGTGCCTTTTCCTGGAACTCACTTGGTAGCCCAGGCTGGCCTCGAACTCACAGAGATCCGCCTGGCTCTGCCTCCCGAGTGCTGGGATTAAAGGCGTGCGCCACCACCGCCCAGCAGGATTTTTTTTTTTGACAGAAGTTTATGTAGCTCAGGCTTGCTTCAAAGTCCTTATAGCTGAGGATGACATTGAACTCCTAATCTTCCTCCTTCTCCCAAGTGTTGGCTCATAGGCATGTACTACATCTGGTTTAATTTGGCTTATCTAGTATTGGAGATGTTACCTGGGGCTTCCTGAATGGGAGGCAAATGTTCTCTTAACCCAGCTACATCCTCAGCCCTCTAGACTTAATTTATACCTTCTCTATTTCTTGTATGAATTTTGTGAATCAGTTAAAATAAAAATAATTAAACTTTATTACATTTATTTATTTATTGTAAATAAATGTGTGTGTGTGTTGGTTAGAGGATAACTTATGAGAGTTGGTTCTTTCTTTCCACCATGTGGGACCCAGGGATCAAACTCAGATGTGAGGCCTGGCTAAAAGTGTTTCTGTTTGTTGAGGCATTTTGCTGGCCCTGGTTTTTGTTTTCTGAGATAGGGCCTTACTGTACAGCTGTGGCTAGTCTGGAACTTGTTATTTAGACTAAGCTAAGCTTGCTTGGAACTTCTTTTGATCCTCTTGCCTCTCCTTCCCACGTGCTGGGAATATGGGTATGAGCTACCAGGCTTGGGGGGCAGAGTCTCTATAGACCTGGCTGGCCTGGAACTCACAGAGATTCATCTGCATTTCCTGGGAATAAAGGCACGTGCTACCATGCCCAGCACATTTTTTATTTTTAGATATAGTATTATTATATAGCCAAGGCTAGCCTCAAATTTACCATCCCTCTCAGCCTCCTGAATGCTGGGGTTACAGGTGTGAGCCCTCATACCGACCTGAGGAGTTAATTTCATTGAAAAGAAACTGATCAAAAAAGACCTCCGAGAAAGCCAGTTCTGATGTCATTGTCGTTCACAGGACAAGATGCAAATGTGTTCAACATCCATCAACAGGAGACTAAATGAAGCCTGGTGGTGGAGCACACCTTGAATCCCAGCACTCAGGAGGCAGAGGTAGGCATCTGAGTTCGAGGCCAGCCTGGTCTACAGAGTGAGTTCCAGGACAGCCAGGGCTACACAGAGAAACCCTGTCTCGAAAACAAACAAACGGGGTTGGGGATTTAGCTCAGTGGTAGAGCACTTGCCTAGCAAGCGCAAGGCCCTGGGTTCGGTCCTCAGCTCAAAAAACTAAAGAAAACAAACAAACGAAAACAGCAGACTAAATGGAGAAGAGACAGCAGAGGCCCAGAACTGTGCAGTTCTTAAGATGTCAAGTCTGGGCTGGGGACTTAAAAGTGTTAAAAAAAACAAACAAACAAACAAACAAAAAAAACCCACAGGGCTTTAGTGGCATGTGCCTGTGACCAGAACCTGGAACACAGTGCAGAGATGAGGCCCTCTCTAAAGATGGCAGAAGTGAGGGTCAACACGAAAGGCTGACCTCTGACCTCCAGCAACATTTATTTATTTGTTTAGGTTTTTGAAGACATGATCTCTCTGTGTAGCCCTGAATGTCCTGGAACTTTCTACGTAGACCAGGCTGGTCTCAAACTCACAAAGACCTGCTTGCCTCTGCTTCCCAAGTTCTGGAATTAAAGGCGTGAGCCGTGATACCTGGCTCCCTGAACGGAAAGACAGCAGATCTTGGCTGCCTGGGGCTGCAGCTCAGGCTGTGGTTCAGTGCTACTACGTGCTTAGGGTGTGTGAAGCATGGGCCCCCTCCCAGCACCACCAGAGAAACAAGCAAGATTGCAAAACACCGTGAAGCAGAACAGAAGGCCCATGGCCATGTGTGTGCCTGGCACACTTATGTCCTCAGAAAGGACACAGAAGTAGACCATCTCTAGGTAGGGCAGTGGGAGTGATAGATGATAGACCCTTGAGTTTCTCTCTGGTTTTTTTTCCCCCAAGACAGGGTTTCTCTGTGTAGCCCTGGTTATCCTGGAACTCACTTTGTAGACCAGGCTGGCCTTGAACTCAGAGATCCACCTGCCTCTACCTCCACAGTGCCCAGCTCTCTGTACTTTTATGCAGGGGTGGGGAGTGAGGGGGTGGGGAGGGTGTGTGGTGGGGTGGGGTGGGGTGGGTGGGACAAGTCTTACATTCTAGCCTAGGCTGGCCTGGAACTTACCCCTAGCCCACTCAGGATGGTCTCTAATTTATGATAAGCTCTGGACTCAGCCTTCCCCAGTGCTGGGATTACTGTTGTGAACCACTGTATCCTCTTATTTTTCTATTTATTTTGACAGGGTCCCGTGTGAACCGCTATATAGTCCAGATTGTGTTTCAGAGTATTTGTGTACACTGTGAAGATGTGGTGTCACTCTGGTTGGTTTAATAAGGAGCTGCATGGCCAATAGCGAGGCAGGAGAGGATAGTCAGGACTTTGGGGGAGAGAAAGAGGAACTTGAATCTAGGCGCACTAGAGATGCCAGCGAGATACGGAGGCAGTCAGATGTACAGAGTGAAAAAGAGGTCAAAAAGCCGTGGCAGAACGTAGATGAGTAAAAGCAGGCTACTTTAAGTTTTAAGAGCTAGCTGGGGGGGGGGGGGGGCTGGAGAGATGGCTCAGAGGTTAAGAGCACCGACTGCTCTTCCAGAGGTCCTGAGTTCAATTCCCAGCAACCACATGGGGGCTCACAACCATCTGTAATGAGATCTGGCGCCCTCTTCCGTATACATAATAAATAAATAAAAATCTAAAAAATTAAAACAAAAAAAAATTAAAAAAAGAGCTAGCTGGGAACAAGCCTAAGCTAAAGGCCAAGCTCTTACAATTAATAACAAGTCTCTGTGTCACCATTGAGGGGGCTGGTGGTCCCCAAAAATAGTTCAACAAGAAAGCTTGCTACAAGATGGGCTACAAATTCCTAGTCCTGCCTCAGCTTTCCAAGTTCTAGTTACAGTCATGTGCCACTGAAGCCCTGGTTTTTAAACACTTTTTATTATTGCCTCATGGGTCTATTGCTGTGATACAACACCATTACCAAAAGCAAACCCGGGGAGGAAAGGGAATTCAGCTTACAGTTTATATAGTTCGTCATCCAGGATAGTCAGGGTAGGAATTCAAGGCAGGAACTTGGAAGCAGGAACCGAAGCAGGGGCCATGAGAGACCTTCGCTTACTGGCTCGCTTGTTCAGACTGCTTTCTCAGAGCACACAGGGCCAGCTGCGGCCCTGCCCACATTGGGCTGGGCTCTCTCACATCAATCATCAATCAAGAAAGTGCACCAGAGGCTTACCTAGAGGCCAGTCTGGTGGGGGCGTTTTCTCAATTGAGGTTCCCTCTTCCAAAATGACTCTAGTTGGTGTCAAATGGACATAAAACTGGCCAGCATAATCATGCATATGCATATGAAAATGTTTAAAGAAAGATTTAAGCCAAGGGAGGGACCCCTGCCAGCCTCCCAACATGAATTCCACTCTGTATCTAATAGAGCCTTGGGAAACACACGATGTCTGTGCCAACGGATTGGGTGCCCATCCTGCCTCACCTGACTCAGCAGTCTGAGGACAGACGGAGGTGCAGCCAATTTGTCAAAATGAAGGAAGTAAGAGCAATTGGACATGGTCTTTGCCTCAGGGCTCAGGAAGGGTGTGACTCAGAAATTGAGCAACGCTGGGCCTACCTTCTGCCACAGCGGAGGTGAGCCCCAGTCACCATTTCTGGCTGGCTCTGGAGGACCTTCTCGGCCAGTGTAGCAGTGCCTCTAGGAATCCTGGGACTGAAATTTTTGGAGGTGGCAAGTGGGAACAAGATTCAAGAGGCCGGCAGCCGACAACCCCTGGAGAGCGTTACTGGGAAGGCCCAGGGCACAGCTCGGTCATTCAACAAGTGCGGAGTCCCCTTGTGAGCCGCTCAGCACTTCTTGACCAGATTACCCACTTTCCCAGATGATTCAAGGACAAGCCTCTTCCTTAGTCTTGCATGATTCCCCACGGCCTGTCAGCCCCAGCTTGCCTGACTCCATGCCCCTTGCTCCTTATCCTCTGGCCTTGCTGTCCTCTTCCAGTTGGTCTATCCCCAACTTCACAGCTGTGTGACCTTAGGCAGGTTTCTTAACCCCTCTGTGCCTCGGTTTTTTTTTTTGTTGTTTTGTTTTGTTTTCCTCTGTAAAGTGAGAAATACTCCATAGTTTTTATTTCACAGAGGAGTCCAGCACAAATGGGTACATGAGAGTCAAGTACTTATTAACCATGTCCCGCTCATGTGAAGTCTGAGTTTGCTGTAATTTCTGGTATTTGTATTTACTTTAGCTTTTGGTTACATTTGTGTGTGGGGGTCAGAGGACAGCTTGTAGGCGTTGGGTCTCCCCTTCTACTGGGTGGGTCTCGGAGACGGGACTCCAGTTGTCAGGCTTCAGGCTTTCTGAGCCATCTCACCGGTCCTTAGATGGAGAGGCTGGCCTTGAAGTTTTGATCCTCCTGCTTCAGTCTCCCGAGTGCTGGGATTACAGGCCTGTGCCACCGCAGCGCCACTGCTGTTATTATTACCTCATATCATATCAACTCTAAGATGTCATCATGTGTAATAAAAAATGCCACTAAAGGAAAAGTTAACCAGGCCCCAGGCTTTTCATCACTAAGACGTTCCTATATTTCCCAGCAGATCTGCTTCCTGATTAGATGCAGGTTCATATCATATAAAATTTTGATGCACTCACAAACAGCATGATACAATCAAGATGATTGGTGAGCTCAGTGGCAGAATTCCCACGGAGAGGCGACTCCTGTGATCGCTTCTGCTGTGAGTCCTTGGGTCTGTTTCCTGGCAGCCTCCCACTCGGGGACACCCAGAATACTCCATAGAGCTGCGCTCCTTCAAACCGGTCTCACCAGCTGGGGGACTTGGGAATCAGGACTGCTTGGCTGGGGTGCTGGGAGTACTCAGGTCAGCCAGGTCCCTCCTGAGGGCGCTCCCGCCATTTGCGGGGCCTCGGGGTCCTCTTCTAAGTCGCTCATATCTTCTCTCCAGGAATTGCTGCTGGGGCTTGGGAAGCGTGGGCTTGTGCCTGCAATGACAGCTCAGTCAGGACTGAAGCTAGCTGAAGGGCAACCGTCACCTGACTTCAGAAATGCCACTTGTGACCAACAAGACATCTCAGGAGAGATAGAACATGAGTGGTTCCTGATCTATGCATCGAGCTGCCTCACAGCATTCTGCATTGATTCCTTGAATACCCTCCCTTCTCATCAGGCTGTGAGCTCAGAGATAGCACTAATCTCCTGCCTCCTCAGGAAGGCCTTCCCTGACTGTCCTGTGAAAGCACTTTTAGTAGTACAAAGTCATATTTCATGTGACTATTATCACCATCATTTTTTATTTATTTTTGAGACAGGGTCTCTCTAAATAGCCCTTACTGCCCTGGAACTCACTGTGTAGATCAGGCTGGCCTTGAACTCACAGAGATCCACCTGCTTCTGCCTCCCAAGTGCTGGGATTAAAGGCGTGCGCCACCGTGCCCGGCATCATCATTATTTTGGGAGATAGTTTCTAGCTAAGTTGGCTTAGCTGGTCTAGAATTCACTATAGGTAGTCCAGGATGTCCTTGAACTCCCGATGCCCCTGCCTCTGCCTCCCAATGCTGGGATTACAGGCGTGTGCCACCAAACCTGGTTTATAAGGTGCTGGGCATTGAACCAGAGCCTTGTGCATGATAAGCAGGCACTCTACCCACTGAACCACATCCCCTGGTGCTGTGTTGCTTCCCTTTAAGGAGTTTACAGATGGGAAACTGAGGCTGGCAACTGAGGTTTCTGGCCCACGGCCATTTCTCAGTGTAGTATAGACCCAGTATGACTGGGTCAGTGTCCACTCCCTCCTGGGGTTCAGAGGAGCTGGCTGGGACAGGGAGCATCTGCAGCAGGCTTCAGGGTTGGAGATGGATTGCCATGAAACTGAAGAGAAGAAGGAGATATGACATTCAGACTCCATGGCAAAGCCAGAGAGCCTCTTCAGTGACCACAGAGTACTAGCTTGAGGTCACCCTCTTGCCTAGAGAGGAAGGGACTCCCTATCATTGCCATGGAGTCAGAAGCCCTGTAGGCCTCCCCTCAGCTAACTTACAGCTTTGTATCTAGTCTTATCTGAGACCCAGGGAGGAGTGTGTGTGTGTGTGTGTGTGTGTGTGTGTGTGTGTGTGTGTGTGTGTGTGCTGCTGAGGCAGGACACGTAGCCCAGCAGAACCCCGGAAGAAGGAAGCTGTACAGGGTCTGTGGCTGGGCCCCTGGGATCCCCCAGCCGGGGACTTCCTCTTCCTCTCAGAGCAGGTGTGGCTGCCACAGCGTGACAGGGACTACACCCTGACCCCCAACATGGAGGGGGCCAAGGGGCCCAGGCTCAAAGACTTCCTGAGTGGGAGTCTGGCCACCTGGGTGAGGATCAGGTGGGAGGGCTGCGTGGGGAAGTGAGTATCAGGGCGGACTGAGAACTGGGGGATGGGTGGCTGGGGTGTGTAGAGTAGTGGGCGGAGGAGAGCGAGGAGGAAAGAGTCTAGGATCTGGGACCAGAGGCACTCAAGGGCACTGCTGGGGAGCGGGATCCTGGGGTGTATTGGGACAGATCAGGGGCTCAGGATGGATTTACGGGTTGTGGGGATGCCACCTGTTCATCTGACTTCTCGGGTTTGTCCCCACAGGCGCTGGGACTGGCTGGGCTGGTGGGGGAGGCAGAAGAATCAGCGGGGACAGAGGAGGAGGATAAGGGGCCTCTTTGTACAGAGAAGAGATTCCTGCAGTTGAGTGATGGGGCCTTGCTCCTTCGGGTGCTTGGAATCATGTAAGTGACATGGGGGGGAGGCTGGTCTGAGGAGAGGTCGCTATGAATGATGGGCGGAGCTTGAGGGTGGAGGGCAAGACCTGGGTGTGTGTGTGTCCAATGGTGGGAGGAGCCTGAGGGTGGAGGGCAAGGCCTGGGGGGGGATGTCCAATGGTGGGATGAGCCTGAGGGTGGAGGGCTAGGCCTGGGGGGGGGGGAAATGTCCAATGGTGGGAGGAGCCTGAGGGTGGAGGGCTAGGCCTGGGGGGGGAAAATGTCCAATGGTGGGAGGAGCCTGAGGGTGGAGGGCAAGGCCTGGGGGGGGGCGGAGAATGTCCAATGGTGGGAGGAGCCTGAGGGTGGAGGACAAGGCCTGGGGGGGGGGGGGTCCTCAAACCAACCTCTCATCCATGTTCCCTGGGTGACCACAGTGCTCCGAGTTCTCGAGGAGGGGGACTTCGGATGATCAGGGGTCACGATGGTCCTGCAGCCTGTCGGATGTGGAACCTTCATCATCTGTGGGGGCGACTGAGGGATTTCTACCAGGTAAGGCATCGGGAAGCCGGGACAAGGGGCCTGGCAACCCCTCGTGAAGGCGGTTTTCTTACTGTTGGCCTGTTCTAGGAAGAACTGCAGCTGCTGATCCTGCCGCCACCCCCAGACCTCCAGACACTGGGGTTTGACCCCCTTTCAGGTGCTGTTTCCCCAGGTGGTGTTGCCCTCTGACCTCTGTCCCTGCCCCATGTCCCTCCTTAACCCCCTGTGGCTCGTACCCAGCAGAAGAGGCAGTGGACGAGCTGGAAGGCATCCTTCGGCTGCTGTTGGGGGCCTCAGTGCAGGTGAGGAGGGGAAGGGGGAACAGAATGGAGTTCTGACAGCAGGAGAGAGCCCCCTGGGTGCCAGTTTTGGTTCTCCTGTCTACCACAGTGTGAACATCGGGAGCTCTTCATCCGTCACATCCGGGGCCTCAGTCTTGAAGTCCAGAGCGAGTTGGCCGCTGTAATCCAAGAGGTACTGATGCAGTCTGGAAGTGATACAGTCTAGGGGCCTTGATTGGGTTCGTTGTCTCTGCCAGTTAAGGAACTAAAGGCAGGAAAAAATCTGAAGTGCACCGGGTGGCAGCAGAGAAATCTCATGCAATTCAGAAAGGCGTTTATTGAGGGTGAGCAAACACGTGCAGCAGACACTCTGAAGAATCTTGCTCCCCTGGTTTAGGGTTGGTCATCTGAAGACTGGTCTGAAACTGTTGTGTGACATGACTTTTTTTTTTAAATTTATTTATTTATTATGTATACAGTGTTCTGCTTGCGTATATCCCTTCAGGCCAGAAGAGGGAGCCAGATCTCATTACAGATGGTTGTGAGCCACCATGTGGTTGCTGGGAATTGAACTCAGGACCTCTGGAAGAACAGCCAGTGCTCTTAACCTCTGAGCCATCTCTCCAGCCCATGACATGTCTTTTTTTAAAAAATTTACTAATTGCGTATACAGTGTTCTACCTGCATGTATGTCTTCATGTCTCATCTGTGAGCCCCAGTGTGGTTGCTGGGAATTGAACTCAGGACCTCTGGAAGAGCTGCTGGTGCTCTTAACCTCTGAGCCATCTCTCCAGCCCCTGTGTGACATGTCTTGATCAGGCCCTGAACTTGTTGAGTCAGTCCATCAGCAGGGGCCTGTTGGTGGGAGGCAAAAGCTGCCAGGCTTTTGTTTCAAGTCAGGAGGTTGTAGAAGATGACTAGCTTGGAAATTTGCCACTGCCTCTATTACCTAGCCATGGCCCCTCTCAGTCTGTCTGCCTACCAGGGAGTCTGACTGACTCCTGGTCTCTCAGTGCTGTGGTGGGTGGCATGTGGGCCTATCACCATCACTGTAGCCACCCTCACCTCTCATCACCCTCCTTCTGATGGATTGTTCTCCGTGCCCTCAGGTGACCCAGCCTGGTGCTGGTGTGGTACTGGCTCTGGCTGGACCAGAGTCTGGAGAGCTGGTGGCTGTGGAGCTGGAGATGCAGTTACGGAACCTGATGCGGACGATGTCCAGGCTGGTGCGAGAACGTGATCTGGGGGCACAGGTAGGGGACAGGCAACAGTCACATGGAGCTGAGTAGGGAGATGGGGGGTGTTAGGGGCTGTCGGTTGTCATAACCTCGAATAATTCTGTGGGGATTGGAAGCCTTATGTGCAGAGGTTTTGGAAGGTGCCTCTTGACCTTTGCCTTCCCGCCAGCGGTTGGCTGAAGTGCTACTGGAGCGGGAACCAGCCCACTTGCGGTTGCCAGAGGCTCCTGCTAATGCTTCTGCAGAGGGTCCCTCGCACCATCTGGCTCTGCAGCTGACCAACGCCAAGGCCCAGCTGAGACGACTGCGGCAGGAGGTGTGAGTGTCTGCAGACTGGGGAAGGGGCCAATGGAACCTGGATGGGTCACCAGCACGGGGGGCATGATAGGGCCCAGGTGTGGGTTTGCGGCTGGCAGACACCCTCCATCACCCCATCCCTCCAGGGAGGAGAAGGCCGAGCTGCTGCTGGACTCCCAGGCCGAGGTGCAGGGCTTGGAGGCTGAAATTCGAAGGCTCCGCCAGGAGGTGCGCTCCAATATCCCCGTCCACTGTCCGCTCCCCATCGTGGTCCCATTGCTCCCAGCAGCCCCTCACCCCTCTGTACCGTGGCTGGCTGATCCTAGTTCCACACCATCTGGCCCAGACCCAGGCACTGTCCGGACAAGCTAAACGCGCCGAGCTCTACCGCGAGGAGGCAGAGGCACTGCGCGAGCGAGCCGGCCGCCTGCCACGCCTCCAGGAGGAGCTGCGGCGCTGTCGCGAGAGGCTGCAGGCCGCTGAGGTCTTCAAGGGCCAGCTGGAGGTGAGGGGGGGGCGGAGCCGTGGGCGGGGTAAGTGGGGGCGTGGTCTGGAGGCGGGGCGTGCGGGAGGAGGTTGGCTAGGAGGAGGGGGTCCAACTTTGTTGGGGAGGTGTGATAGCAGGGAGAAATGGGTGAGAACACAGCAGGTGGAGTCCGGGACAAATCCTTTAGGATGGGCGGCTGGAAGGGAGAAGAGGAGGAGACTATGGAAAGGCAGGTTTTGAAGAGGAGGATGAGGCCGTGGGTAGAACGTGGGGAGTCTGCAGTGAGACCCTAACAAGTAGGGGTACTGATAAGTGTGGTCTGGTGGAGGGATGTGGCCTTGGGAGGCGGTTTCTGGAGGGGGGACGGGAGGGTGGGCCAGGAGCTTGGGAGACCCTGGAGAGAGCTGCAGATGGAGGTAAGAGGTAGGAAAAGGAGGTGGGCGGTCCAGGGGAAGGAACTGGGAACTGCCAGGTGCTGAAGAGCATAGGGGTTGCACGTCATCACGGATTCCCCCCCCCCCCTGCTTTCCCACCAGGAGGAGCGGGTGCTTTCTGGGGCCCTGGAGGCCTCAAAGGCGATGCTGGAGGAACAGCTGGAGGTTGCTCGAGAGCGCTCAGCCAGGCTGCATGAGACCCAGCGGGAGAATCTGCTGCTGCGCACGAGGCTGGGCGAGGCCCATGCGGTGAGCTAGGTTGACCTGACCATCTGTCCGTTGTGTCTGGTCCTCCATGACCCCAGTGATGCCCGAGGTTTCTCCAGGCGGTTCCTGTAGCTTGTTGGGACTCTCAGATTTGCACATTTGGCCTGGGCCAGATGAAGAAGGCTGTGCTGACCCACTCCTTCACACCCCAGGAGCTGGACTCTCTGCGGCAGCAGTTGGAGCAGCTGGTGGAGGAAAATGTGGAGCTGGAGCTGGAACTTCAGAGGAGCCTGGAGCCACCCCCAGGTTCCCCTGGGGAGGGTGAGTGGGGTCTAGGGTGGGGGTGAGGATCTGGGGGTGGAGGCAGACTGGGTGGGGAGGACTTGTTTTCATGCCCTTACTAGGTCTCTGAGAGGTGTTGAAGGGAAGTCAGGGAGGGTGGATAGAGTCCTGACTTGGCCACATCCCCAGCTCCCCTACCCGGAGCAGCACCCTCACTGCAGGACGAGGTGAGGGAAGCGGAGGCTAGGCGGCTAAGGGCAGTGGAACGGGAGAATCAGGAGCTTCGAGGCCTGCTGCAGATGATGCAGGAGCAGCTTGACAGCCAGGTAGGTCCCTCCAGCATCCTTATCCTTACTGGTTACCACCCCACCCCATCCTAATGCCGCCTCCCACACTGTCCTTCTCATATGTCCTCAGCGCCCTCTGCTGGAGGAGCAGAGCAAGGATGCCATGCTGCCTGGGCCCAGTGGGGCTCCCCCAACTCCGGGGGCTCCAGATCACAGCCTCAAAAACTGGTCTTGCCAGAGGGAAGGTGAAGGCCCTAAATCCTTGGACCTGGCTTCCTCAGCATCAGACTCTGACATCACAAGGTCATCTGAGTGTCCCCAGGCACCTGACTCACATCCAGAGGTGATGGAGAGTTCTTTCAAGATGGTTTCTCAGGATCCCCAGACCTCAGTCCTAACTCCCCAAGAATCAGACCCTACTGTGGAAACACATGGATCTCTGGAGAAGTCCAGCCATAGAGTCTCTCTCCAGAGCCCCATTGTCTGGGACCTACCACAGGGTCCGGATATCAGAATTGAGGTGCAGGAGTTGCTAGAAGAGACTGGAAGCAGGGAGGCTCTCCAAGGGGAGTTGGTGCCCGAGACCCAGGTCCTGAAACGGGAGAGCCCTGAGTGCAGGCCCAGGTCTTCAGAGTTCAAACTCCAGGAGCCACTGAAGGATCAGGAGACTCTCGATCAGGGCCTAGAACTGTCCAAGCAGCAGACAGAGGCAGGAGGGCATGAACAGAGGCCCGAGGGGTTGGTCAGTAAACTGGTCCCCCAGAAACCACAGCAGACATCAGAAGGCGCTCCTAATGCCGGGTCCAGGGAGGAGCGAGTCCTGGGGGAGACCCCGGCCAGTGCTGTCCCTGAGGAGCAGGCCCTCAGAGAGGAGGTGGCACAGCTCCGGAGAGAGGTTGTGGGCCTCGAGGCCCAACTGCAAGCCCAGGCCCAAAGGCTGGAGGCCCGAAGTGCAGAGGCTAGCTGCCTCTCGGAGGAGCTGGCCCTAGCGCGCAGGGCAGAGGCTGAGGCCCATCAGGAGGCAGAGACCCAGGCCCGGGAGCAGGCCCGACTGCGGGAAGCGGTGGAAACAGCCAGCCTGGAGCTGGAGGCTGCATCTCGAGAGCGGGGGGCGCTGGCTGAGGCGCTGGCTGCAGCGGGCCGTGAACGAAGGCAGTGGGAACGAGAGGGGCCCAGGCTGCGGGCTCAAGCCGAGGCTGCCGAGCAGCAGGTGCAGACTCTGGAGAGCCAGGTCCGTCGTCATCTGGAGGAGGCTGAGAGGGAGTGCCTGGAGAAACAAGACCTCAGGGAGGTATGTGGGGTATGGCCAGTGGGTCAGGGAAACGAGGACCTGGGCCAGTTGCTGGGATGTACGATGTTTGTTCTTTCCCTGCACTGAGATGGGACAGAAGGTAGACAGTCCAGGCCACTCCTGCTGTTGCAGGATACAGCTGATGGCCGGTCCTTGATAGGGTAGGCTACAGGAGGGACTCACATAGCCAATCCGGTGGCCTATCCTGCACTCTGTTGTGAAAGTCTCTACCCCTTCACCCCGGTTCCCTCCTCCTGTGTAAAACAGAGATGCTGTGCCTTGCAGCCCTCATGGTCTGTGGGCAGACCAGGATCATTGTGGAAAGCACCTGGCTCATACCTGGCCAAGGCCTACTGTAAGTGCCCAAACAGTGGTTCCTTAGGAGCTGGAGATGGAGTCCATTTTGTAGAGAGCTTGCCTGGCATTCACAAAGCCCCAGGTCCATACCTAACTCCACATAAACTAGACACGGTGGCATATGCCTGTCACCTCAGCACTCAGCATATGGAGGCAGGAGGATTAAAGTTGTTCAAGGCCATTGTTCTATGGCTGTGTTAAATGCCATGACCAAAGGGAAAAAAAAAAGCAAGTTGGGTAGGAAAGGTTTTATTTCACCTTACAGGTTATAGTCCATCATGAAGAAAGTCAGGGCAAGCACCCAAAGCAGGAACCTGGGGGCAGGAACAGAATGAAGCAGAGGTCCTGGAGGGCTCTGCTTACTGGCTTCTCTTCATAGCATACTTTTATATAACGCAGGACAACCTCTCCAGGGTCAGTGCCGCTCACAGTGGGCTGGGTTCTCCCACATTAATCATTAACCAAGAAAATGCCCCCAGACTTGCCTATGGGCACTTGACAGAGGCATTTTCTCAGTGGAGGCTCCCTGATCCCAGATGAATGGCTTGTGTCAAGTTGACAGCACAGACATCCTTGACTATATAATGAATTGGAGGCTAGCCTGGGCTACACGAGACTTTGTCTAGAGAGAAAACAGAAACGAAAACATCTACTGAAGAAGTGCCAGCAGAGTACCCAGGACGGGGTGGACATGCCAGTCTGGGTGTGAGAGGCCTCCAGGAAAAATCACCAAGATTTCATTGGATGCTGAAAGATTAAGAACTTTGGTGAGAAGGGACAAGGGCTCTAAGGCATTGGAGATGCTGGGGGACCCAGAAAAAGTCACAGCAGCGGCCAGCTTTGAAGGGGCTGCTACTCTGTCTTGCATGGAAAGCCTCAAGGTGTGGGCAGACCCACGTGGGGTTGAGTTTGAGGAGAGTCACTTTGGTGGATGGGAGCCTAGGCCCCTCAAGAGGCGGGGGTGACCATGGCAGGTAAGGCTGAGGTGGATGGAGCCTAGGCCCCTCAGGAGGCGGGGGTGACCATGGCAGGTAAGGCTGAGGTGGATGGAGCCTAGGCCCCTCAGGAGGCGGGGGTGACCATGGCAGGTAAGGCTGAGGTGGATGGAGCCTAGGCCCCTCAGGAGGCGGGGGTGACCATGGCAGGTAAGGCTGACAGGGGCAGTGCTGGAGGGGAGGGAATGGCTAGAAATGCTTTCCTTCGTTTATTCATTCACACACTTGGTGAGGCCAGCCAAGGTTCTGTACCAGGCTGTGTGCACAGCGATGACAGGTAGGGAGCTGTCCACATGCACAGGTGTGGAGAAGATGGGACAGTGCAGGGGTCATGAGTCCAGACTGGATAGATACATCAGGGAAGGCTTCCAGGAGGAGGTGGGGAGGAGCAGATCCAGGTGTGAGCTGAAGAAGTCAGGAGAGGTGAGGCTGAGGAGGAATTAAGCAGGGTTCTTTTTGTTTGTTTGTTTGGTTTTTTGTTTTTTGTTTTTTTTTTTTTTTTTTTGGTTTTTCGAGACAGGGTTTCTCCGTGTAGCTTTGCGCCTTTCCTGGATCTCGCTCTGTAGACCAGGCTGGCCTCGAACTCACAGAGATCTGCCTGGCTCTGCCTCCCGAGTGCTGGGATTAAAGGCGTGTGCCAATGCCACCCAGCTAAGCAGGGTTCTTTTTTTTTTTTTTTTAAAGATTTATTTATTTATTTATTTAAAAAAAAAGCCTGATCTCCAAAGCGAGTTCCAGGAAAGGCACAAAGCTACACAGAGAAACCCTATCTCGAAAAACCAAAAAAAAAAAAAAAAAAAAAAAAAAAAAGGATTTATTTATTTATTATGTGTGTAGCATGCAGCATGTATGACTGCAGGCCAGAAGAGGACACCAGATCTCATCATTACAGATGGCTGTGAGCCACCATGTGGTTGCTGGGAATTGAACTCAGGACCTCTGGAAGAGCAGCCAGTGCTCTTAAACTCTGAGCCATCTCTCCAGCCCTAAGCAGGGTTCTTTTTGGGCACAGTGAGAGCTTCCTTCTGTGCTGAGGGAGAGGCTGGGGCTTTTGTGCGTAAATGGTGCCTCTGGAGGCTGGAGACAAACAGAAGGGTCAGTCCACACTGGGAGGCGGAGCCTGGGTCAGCATGAAGGAGTGGCAAGGGTCTTAGAGCGGTGGGCTGGGAACTGGGCACAGACGAGACCCAGGCTCAGACAGAAAGAACACCTGTGCGGCCCCTCCCAGTGGCGAGGATGGGGAACAGGATTGGGGGCTGGTGGACCCAGGTTAGACACTGCACAGGGTAGGTATGGGGAAGGTAGGTAGGCAATGTGAGAATGGATGAGCGTGAGACAATGAAGAGAGAGGGTCCCTCTGGGGTACATACTGTAGGACGGGACCCAGAGACCTGCCAGTAAAGGACTGCATGATGTCTCAGACCTTCCCTGAGTGTCAGCTGTGTGGCTTGGAGCGAGTTACTTCTGAGTGTCCCATCCCTCATCTGTAAAGTGGAAACAAAACTGCCTGTCCCTCCTGTGGTGGTGCATGTCTGAAGTCCTGCCCTTGGGAGGCTGAGGCAGGAGGATTTCAAGTTAGAGGCCAGCCTGAGCTATGGAGCAAAGCCTCTAAAGCTAAAGAGGGGACCCGATGTGGGAGTGCACTCCTTTAATCCCAGTACTTGGGGGCGGGGGTAGAGGTAAGCAGATAGATCTGAGTCTGAGGTTAGCCTGGTTCATAGTGACGGGAATACATAATGAGACCCTGTCTCAGAAATAAATAAATAAATACATAACCAAAGAGGGAGAATAGAACAGATCCAGGGGTGAGGGGCAGAGACAGAGAGAGAGAGAGAGAGAGAGATGAGAGGAAAACCGAAAACTGTTCCTGTCTGATAGGCGCTCACAAAGCAACGTGTGGCAAGAGCTCAGGGTGTGCCCAGCTCCAGTATACTTTTGCTTTCCGGGGAGAGGGACTGGTGGTAGGGCGGGCCTGGAAGAGCTGGCTCTGAGTGTGGGAGAGGCTGGGGTTAGAGAGAATCGGGAGGATTTCCTGACTGCAACAGTTCTGGGTGCTGCCTGGATGTGACACGGAAGGAGCTGGCCAGCAGGCAGACGGAAGAGATCCTGAGGCTTTCATTTGGGCATGGAGGCCTCTCAGGCTGGGCAGAGGAGCACTTGGTATGGCTATAGCCAGAACAGGGAGTGGGCAGGGCCCCAGGCCTCCACTTTCATCTGCACTACAGTTCTTTTTTTTTTTTTTTTTAATCTCTAGCGGTGCCAAGGCCCTAGTGGCCAGCTAGGCAGCAAAGCCTTATGGGAATTATAATTTTTCTCCTCCTCCTCCTCCTCCTCCTCCTCCTCCTCCTCCTCCTCCTCCTCCTTCTTCTCTCTCTCTCTCTCTCTCTCTCTCTCTCTCTCTCTCTCTCTCTCTCTCTGGACAGGGTTTCTCTATTAGCCCTAGCTGTCCTGGAGCTCACTCTGTAGACCAGACTGGCCTTGAACTCAGAGATTTGCCTGGATCTGTCTCCTAAGTGTTGGTTAAAGGCGTGTGCCACCACTGCCCAGCTGAATTGTAGATTTTCACCCAGAGGCCATGCCCACATCTGTTGGGAACTAAGGTGCCCAGGGCAGGGTGTGGAGGTTGTTACCTAGGATGATGGCTCAGCAGTCTTAGTTTTCAGAGGCAGGATGTGGCCAGTGGCTGGTAGGGTCACCTTTGTGTAGCTTTATCTTTCCAGGGTCCCCAGGAGTCCGAATGGTTTGGTCTCCTTCTCCCTGGAGCTCACTGGCCAGAGTTGACCTTCCACCCCTACCATGGAATGCTGTGGGCCAACTGCCAAATGCCATGGTCTCGGACCCGACCTCTGCAGCCTTGCACTGTGGTTAGGCCCGAGATCCCGAGTTCCTGTTCTGCCTGCTCTCAGCAGCCGCCCCTTTGTGGTGGAGGATGCTCTGCAGGCCCACCTCCACTGAGCCCCTGCACATGGCTGATGTGGCCGCTCACAGGGTTCCTCACCCTCCTGGGTACATGCGAAACTATGGGCTCAAAGAGGTGAAGCCACTTGCTTAGTGTGCGTCTCTGATTCCTTACTCAGGGGCTGCTTCCACACCCTACCAGGGTTAGGGCCCCACCCCTTTCACATCCATCTTGCAAGGCCACCGCACCCCACTTCCAGGTCTTTTAGACAAGGTCTCACATTAAGCCTAGACCTCATTGTGTAGCCCAGGCTGGCCTTAACTTTGTAGCCATCCTCCTGCCTCAGCTTCTTGAGTGCTGGTATTACAGATGTGAACTACCGTGCCCACCAGATGGGAACACAGAGACCCAAAGGATTAAAGACATTTGCCAGGGTAACAGAGCAAGGCAAAGAGCAAGAAAACCCCTTCTTAGGCCTGTCTCTAGCTCTCCTCGGTCTCTGGGGGAGAGGCATGTTCCCTATGTTCATCCCACCTGCTCAGCCTATCCTGCCTGCCCTCAGGAGCTGGAGAAAGCTGTGGTACGGGGCCAGGAGCTGGGGGCCCGGCTGGAGCATCTGCAGCGAGAGCTGGAACAGGCAGCCTTGGAGCGCCAGGAGTTCCTACGAGAACAGGAGAGCCAGCACCAAAGGTGGGCACAGTGGCTGGGACAGGGAGGGACAGGGAAGTAAGGGCCGGGTGTTAACGGTTTCTCCTGGTAGGTACCAGGGCCTGGAGCAGCGGTTGGAAGCTGAGCTGCGGGCAGCGTCAACCAGTAAGGAGGAGGCGTTGATGGAGCTCAAGGCCCGGGCCCTGAAGCTGGAGGAGGAGCTGATTCAGGTAAAGTTGTCCTGGGAACTGAGGTGCCAGCCCCTTGCTCCTACCTGGGAGTAGACAACCAGGACTGCCAGGGCTCAGGTCTTACCTCCGGATGGATGGGCTAGCTGCTCATCTCATGCCCTGGCATGGCTGTGTCCTCCACTCCTTAAATGGATGGAACCTCTTCTTGGGGTGACTGCTCTGCTTTTTCCTTGGGCTCCAACACGTCCCGAGGCATGTGAGGCACCTGTTATTTGTGTCCCTGGACCTTGTCTCTGCAGCTGCGACAGTGCCCTGTGGGGCTGGCGACGCAGGTGAGGGCTGACCCTCGGACTGCGGAGACCCAGAACTGTCGGCTCATCGAGGTGGAGCGAAGTGTGAGTGACGGAGCAGCGATTGCCCGGGGGATCGGGGGACTGGCCAATTAGCCACTGATAACCTTCTCTGGCAGAATGCCACACTGGTAGCTGAGAAGGCAGCTCTGCAGGGGCAGCTGCAGCACCTGGAGGGGCAGCTGGGGAGCCTGCAGGGCCGGGCACAGGAGCTCCTGCTACAGAGTCAGCGGGCACAGGAGCACAGCAGCCGCCTGCAGGTGGGTGGCCGTTGTCCCTGCCCATTTGTGTCATTTTGTGCCCTTTCCCGTCCTCTAGCCAGCCACCCCACCTGTTTCCACAGTACTTGCCCTCTGACCCCAGCCATCCCGGTCTGTACCTTCTCCCCAATCTTGCTTTCAGAATCCACGTCTGTACCCATCTCCATTCCCCATCACCTTCCCATCTCAGCCTTCTCCTCCGTACTAGCCATTAGTCTTCACTGCCTTTCCTAGTCTCTGCTCATCGGTCCTATCCACGTTCTGGGCCTCTTGCATGGCTCAGCTTTTCCATGCCACATTGATGCCTCTCTACGGCTTTTAACCTCTTCCTGTTCTTCAGCTGTCCCTCTGCTTCCTCCATAGCTTGTTCCTGTCCTCTGTCCTCTGGTCTCAGGCCGTGTCCCTTATTCCTTCTGGGCTGGGTGCCACACTGCCGTGGTCCTGCCTATTTGCTTCACCCTAGGCTGAAAAGTCCATGATGGAGATGCAGGGCCAGGAGCTGCACAGGAAGCTGGGGGTGCTAGAGGAGGAGGTGCGGGCAGCAAGACAGGCCCAGGAGGAGACTCGTGGGCAGCAGCAGGCTCTACTTCGAGACCATGAGGCCCTGGCCCAGCTGCAGCGGAGACAAGAGACAGAGCTGGAGGGACTGCTGGTGCGGCACCGAGATCTCAAGGCCAACATGCGTGCCCTGGAGCTGGCCCACCGTGAGCTGCAGGGCCGGTGAGACTCCCCAAGCGCCCCGCTTCTCTCCCTGGCATGCTCACTTGCCTGCTTCCCTCATTAGGTCTGACCCAGGGGGGAATTCCATACTCTGCATATCGGCCCTATTGCCAATCTCTTGGGGATCTGGGCTCTCCAACTTTGAGGCTGGGAATGGTGACACCTTGGCATGGTGTTCTGCTTTGGGGGGCTTTTCTGAGGTGTAGTGCTTATGCTTTGGAGGTGTGAGACTTATAGATCTCCACAATGCAGCGCCTACTTGCCAAGGCTGCAGGCCCCTGTAGCCCTTTGGACCTTATCCATACAGGCATGAGCAGTTGCAGGCCCAGAGGGCCAGTGTGGAAGCACAAGAGGTGGCCTTACTGGCAGAGCGTGAGCGCCTGATGCAGGATGGGCATCGGCAGCGGGACCTGGAGGAGGAGCTGCGGAGACTTCAGAATGAGCACGACAGGTACCAGCCCGCGCGTTCAGCCCTGCCCCCGACTCCCCAGATGAGCATCCCACGTATGAAGTGGGTTGGGATGGGTTAGTCACAGCCCCCTGTGTGTTCTGCTTCACCTCCTCTCTGTGGGTGTGGCCCTCCTGGCTCTTGGAGAGCTCTTGTCTTTGCCTCCAAAGAGCTCAGAAGCTGCTGGCTGAGGTGTCTCGGGAGCGAGGGGAGCTCCAGGGTGAACGTGGGGAACTGCGGGGCCGCCTGGTGAGGCTGGAGCTGGAGCGGGCACAGCTGGAGATGCAGAGCCAGCAGCTCCGTGAGTCCAACCAGCAGCTGGACCTGAGCGCCTGCCGGCTGACCACACAGTGTGAGGTGTGGCCGAGTGTCAGGGCAGCCGAGGGAGGCCAAGGCGGGCAAGCCAAGCTAGGACAGGTATTCAGGACGGGTATTCACCCTGACCTTGCGGCTGCCCGCAGCTGCTGACCCAGCTTCGCAGCGCTCAGGAGGAAGAAAACAGGCAGCTGCTAGCTGAGGTACAGGCCCTGAGCCGGGAGAATCGAGAGCTGCTGGAGCGGAGTCTGGAGAGTCGTGACCACCTGCATCGAGAGCAGCGAGAGTACCTGTGAGCATGCGCAGGCCAGGACCGTGCCCCGTGGGCCTTCAGGGAGCCTCCCCTATACGCCCCCCCCCTCCCCCCCCCCCGCCCCTAGGTCCTAGGAAAAAATCCCAGGCATAGGGCTGCTGCAGTGTGGCTGCCCTGGGTTACACCTGCTTCTGCCAGGGCTTTGCCAGATCTCTGTGAACCCATTCTCTCCTCTTCCTACCAGGGACCAGCTTAACGCCTTACGCCGTGAAAAGCAGAAGCTGGTGGAGAAAATCATGGACCAGTACCGTGTGCTGGAACCTGGGCCCCTGCCCCGCACCAAGTGAGGCCCCACCTTCTGGAATGGGATCCTGCGAACTTTTGCCCTGGCCTACCCTCTGACCCCCAGTTCCCTAAGAGCCAGGCTGGGATGCAGGTCTTAGTGAGGGTTTTCCTGACCCTTTCACCCCCTGACACACCTCTCCTCTGCCTCCCTTCTCCTGTTTCCTTATCCCTTCTTATGCCTTCTTGCCCCCAGGAAGGGCAGCTGGCTGGCAGACAAGGTGAAGAGGCTGATTCGGCCCCGGCGGGAGGGGGCCCTCCATGGGGGGCCACGCCTGGGGGCCGATGGGGCTGGCAGCACCGAGAGCCTGGGGGGCCCCCTGGAGACGGAGCTCCCTGAGGGCAGGGAGGCAGATGGGACAGGTGGGTCTGAGGGCCGGGTGACCAGGATGTCCCTATCCCATGTCTCCCACCCTTGGCATTTGCCATACTATCTGGTCTGCACGTGTGCTTCCCAGGCCTTTCCTGCTACCTGCCTTGATGATGTTGGCTGCTCTCTCTCTCTGGGCCTGCGGAGTCCCCTGCCTGGCTCCTCCTTTCTGCCCATATTGCCACCTCCCCATTTCTACACAACCCACACCAGGCCTGTGACTTCCTAGCAACAGGGCACATTAGGGGAAGGTCATATCCTTGATGGTACAGAAGGAAACTGAGGATCGGAGGGTGAGGTGCCTTGCCCAAGGCCACACAGCGAGCTACTGTGTGAGCCATTGTGTGAGCCATTGTGTGAGGCAGCAGCACACTGGCCAGGTTCACCTGCCAGGTCCCTTCTCTCCTACACTCTGCCCTCTTTCTGCCCTGCAGCTTCACGCACTGGCTCTCTGCTTGTCTCCCTGTACCTTGATGATACCCAACCCCTCCACATGTGCCTCTCACAGGGTCCTCATCACCGGCACCCATGCGCCGTGCCCAGAGTTCGCTTTGCTTGGGAGATGATTCCCTGGCAGGTGGGCAGCGGAGGAGACTCAGCTCCCGGTTCCCTGGGGGGCGAAGTTCTGAGTCATTCAGTCCAGGGGACACCCCAAGGCAGCGGTTCCATCAGCGCAGGCCAGGCCCCCTGGGGGCACCCAGTGCCCACAGCAAAGGTGAATATGAGCCCCCCCTCATCCGATGGACCTTTGGGGAGAAGATTCATTCCTGTTAGTCTCTGTGTCCTGTGTGCCTTGCCCACCACTGCCTGGCACCATGGCCCAGTGGCTACCTTTTGATTCCCCAGGATCTGGTGTGGAATGGGATGGCTCCATTAAGACCCTCCCGGAACACGAAACAGATGCCAGTCGAGAGGGTGAGTCGGGGTCTGTGACTCGTCTGGGGTCCCTGGCAAGTCTCATTCACCAATTCTCTCTTCTGATGAGGAAGGATCCTTTACCAAACACCAGCTGGTGTGCTCCTGGGGATGTGGCAGGGAACATTTTGGTGTGGGGAGGCAGACAGAAAACACTGAAAATAGTCACTGTCTCCAACATCCTGGACTGATAGCAATACAGTGTGAACAGTGTGAGTGGTACGTGCCGGTTATCCCAGCACCCGAGAGGCTGATTGGGAAGATTGAAAGTTCAAGCCCAGCCTAGATTCTAGGGCAAGACCCTGTCTTAAAGGAGAAAAAGAGGAAAATGGTGTTGTGAGCTGTGTGTGTATCTTTTCCCTGTTAGCAACCCTGCCAGAAAACAGAGAGAGACAGGTACAAGGATTTTAGTGACATGACTCATTTAACTCTGTCTGTCTAAGTGATTACCGTTTTCAATGTGTTGTCAGTGCGGAAAAATTACAAATGAGATTTTCTTTTCTACATTATTTTACTTTTTGAGACTGATTCTTACTGTGCAGCCTGGCTGGCCTGGGACTTACTACGTAGACCATAGTTTGAGGCCAGCCTCAAACTCAAAAAGATCTGCCTTTCTCTGTCTCATGAGTGCTGGGATTAAAGGCGTGATCCATCATGTCTAGCTCAAGATTTTTTTTTTTTGAGACAAGGTCTCATATAGCCCAGGCTAGCCTTGAACTGATTCTCCTGCCTCTACCTTCCCTGTGCTGGGATGACATGTATGACTGACTGTGCCTTACTACTGTGTCTGGTTTTTTGAGATAGAGTCTTGTTATATAGCTCAAGATGGCCCAGAGCTCCCCGTGCTGCCCAGGCTGGCCACAAATGTGTGGCAAGTCTCCTGCCTCAACTTTCTTAGTCCTGGGATAATAGTTCTGTGTCACCACACCCCTCATTTTTCATAGTAAGTTTTTAAAGCCTATCAAGCATTTCACATGCAGGCATATAACCGTTTGAGCTAGCAGAGGCGCTTAGCCCATCATGATAGGAGTTTATAGTGCTGGGGAAGAAGAGTGTGTGTGTGTGTGTGTGTACAGGCTGGGGTTCGAATGAGGGCACTGGCTGGGGACAGGCTTCGGAGAGGAGCTGAAGTTTAGGGACAGCTGGGAGGCAGGCTGGTACAGGGGTGGAGGGCTAGCAGGTGGGCAGAAAGTTCAGGGCCCCGTGGGCTGCCTTGACTGCTCCAGATCTTCCTGGGGAGGAAGCCTGAGCCCAGCTTTTCTCTCTAGCCCTCCAGGAGCAGAAACCGGAGAAACATCCCCTTACCCCTTCCCTCAGCCAGTGACACTGTGGGGACAGGAAACTTGGGAGTGAAGCCTTCTCCTCAATATAGGGCCGGTGGATCTCCCAGGCAACCCAAGAGCCGGGGGACCCAGGGACTCCAAGAAGAGTACTTAAACAAAGAGGCCTGGACTCCCAGGCCCTCCACAACCCACACTGGGGCCCCACGAAGGAGCTGGGACAAGTTTGTCAACACAGGATGTGACTGGTCCCAACGGGTAGCTCCTGGCCAGGGCTCTTGCTCTGGTACACAGCCATCATTGAGGAGACGATCTCTAGGGGATCCCCCAGTTGAAGGAGCCTGGCAAGAGTGGGTAAGAGAGTCCTCTGCCCGGTCTAGATGGGAAGCCAAGGCCCATTCTCTGGGGACAAGCCTGGGCTGATATCTAAGCCTTGTCTGGGACATGAAGGAGAGAATAAAACTGTAACCCCATGAATCTGGGCTCTGTGTCTGCTGGCTGCCTCTGGGAGCCTGGAGGTATTGGGGATTCCTATCGATGGGCTTCTGTAGCTAGGGAGCCATGTCCGGACCAGGCAGCAAAAGGAATTATAGTGTGACCACTTGGACTTGCCAAAACCTGGATGTGCTGGCCAGGTGGGCAGCCACTGGTGGGCAGAGCCTGGGTGGGAAGTGGGACATGGGATCTGGGAAGTGGGACATGATGACCTTGGTTGGCCCTGACCCTGTGTCTCAGGGCACCTCTTTTCTCTCTCCATATCTTCCAACCTCCTCATCTTCTTTTCCAGCCTTTGGGGTTGAGCTCTGCCTCAGGAAGCTCACAGTCACTCGAGGGGGTACTATAAGACATGGTGTCCCATGTCTCTAACCCGAGTCCCTAGGACGATTACTGGGAAAGGAAACTGTCATATTTAGGTTCAGTTGTCAGCTTGACTCCTGGGAGAGGAAACTCAGCTGAGAAATTGCCACCATTAGACTGGTCTATGGGCATATCTATGGAGGCATTTTCTTGATTGCTAATTGATGTAGGAGGGGCCCAGTCCGCTGTGGTGGTGCATTCCTAGGCAGGTGAGCCTGGGCGGTATAAAAAAAGCTAGCAGAGGGGCTGGAGAGATGGCTTAATGGTTAAGAGCACTAGCTGCTCTTCTGGAAGACCCAAGTTCAGTTCCCAGCACCCACATGGCGGCTCACAGCTCTAGGGCATGCCTCTGGCTTCCATGGGTACCTACCCATGTGCACATACCCACATGTAGACATGCATACCCACACACAATTAAAAATAATAAAAATAAACCTTAAAGAAAAGAAAAGGCAGTTGAGCAAGCCGAAGGAGGCAAACCAACAAGCAGTGTTCTTCCAGTCTCTGCTTCAGCTCCTGCCCCCATGTTCCTGCCCCCACGTTCCTGCCCTGGCTTCCCTTACAGGAGGACTGCACCCAGTAAGCCAGATAAACCTTTTCTTCCCTAAGTTGTTTTTGTCACAGAAACAGAGAAGCAAACTAACATGGAAGTTGGTACCTGGAACGTGGGGTGTTGCTGTGATGGACCTGACCATGTGGCTTTTATGGACTGTTTTGTGGGAAGAAGGCAGAGGATTTTGGAACTTTGGGCTGGAAAAGCCATGGAGTGCTCAGAGCTTAAAGAGCTGTTGTGAGCAATGCAGACTATGAAGGCCTGGCTTGTGAAGTTTGAGAGGGAAGTCTGACAGTCTTTCAGAGTTTGCCAGGTTGTCTATGTGATGTGTTTGAAGAGTCAGTGGAAATGAAACCCGTGCTTTACTGGGACCATGGATGTTTGTTAGCCAGGGCTGAAACATCGGCTGGGGTGAATAAGAAACTGGCACCATTGAGGCAGACTTCTGGGAAGTGCTTCTCAGGGTCACCACACAGAAGCTGTGGCCTAGTAGGGGCCAAGGTTGCATCTCAAGCTGTCAGCAGAACTTGGCAAACAGTGTGTAAGTCTTACACCTAGTGTTGGTATTTTGAAGGCATGAAAGGGTCATGGGGAACAGCCGAGGCTTGGTACTATGTGGCAGGGTCAGAGTCCCCGACGGGAGGCCAGGAGGCCACTGGCGAAGGTGCAGTCTCAGTCACGATGGAAACCTCAGGATATTGGAGGTGCCAGGGCTGTGAGACAAGTGCCAAGGACAGCAGCAGTTGTGGAAGGGAGCTGACTTAAGCCTACACGACAAGCTGTGTGTGCTGTGGATGGCAGGCCAGAGGAGCAGACCTCAGTCAGTGCTTTGGAGCCAGAAGATCATGAGTGAGTACCAGATGCTGGGCCCCCGAGATACAGGCTTTGACATCATTACTGGATGTCGGGTTTTGCTTGATCTGATTGTATCCGTATCCTGGTTCTTCCCTTTTGAATAAAGTATGTAACTATTTTGGATTTTACCGTAGCCCACATTTAAGAGACTGGATATTTTTTTTTTTTGTTTGTTTGTTTTTTTGAGACAGGGTTTCTCTGTGTAGCTTTGCGCCTTTCCTGGGACTCACTTGGTAGTCCAGGCTGGCCTCGAACTCACAGAGATCCGCCTGGCTCTGCCTCCCGAGTGCTGGGATTAAAGGCGTGCGCCACCACCGCCCGGCCTGGATATTTTTTTTTTTAAAAAAGTTGGGACTGGAGAGATGACTCAGAGGTTAAGAGCACCGACTGCTCTTTCAGAGGTCCTGAGTTCAATTCCCAGCAACCACATGGTGGCTCACAACCATCTGTAATGAGATCTGGCTCCCTCTTCTGTGTACATAATAAATAAAGAAATCTTTTTTTTTTAAATTTATTTATTTATTATGCATGCAGTGTTCTGTCTGCATGTGTGCCTGCAGGCCAGAAGAGGATGCCAGATCTTATTACAGATGGTCGTGAGCCACCATGTGGCTATTGGGAATTGAACTCAGGACCTCTGGAAGAGCAGCCGGTGCTCTTAACCGCTGAGCCATCTCTCCAGCCCTAATAAATAAATCTTAAAAAAAAAAAAAAAGTGAGGAAGCCTCCACGCAGCTTCCTTTAAAAAAAAAAAAGTTAATTAGCTGGGCAGTGGTGGCACACGCCTTTGATCCCAGCTCTTGGGAGGCAGAGCCAGGTGGATCTCTGTGAGTTCAAGGCCAGCCTGGTCTACAGAGGGAGATCCAGGACAGGCACCAAAACTACACAGAGAAACCCTGTCTCGAAAAACCAAACTAACTAAATTAATTAATTAATTAAAAAATAAAAATAAAAAAAGATAATTTCGACCATCAAGTCATTGTAATTGTTTGTTTGTTTGTTTTGTTTTTCAAGACAGGGTTTCTCTGTCCTGCTCTGTAGACCAGGCTGGCCTGGAACTTAGAGATCCGCCTGCCTCTGCCTCTTGAGTGTTGGGATTAAAGGTGTGTGCCACCATTCTTCAACTGGACTGTCCTTTATATTGTGATATTAACATGAGCTTTTGGAAATGAACAAGAAAGGAAAGGTTATGCTTTAAGGGAGGTGTGCTTGTGTGTCAAAGTTGACAAGGGGTGGAATGTCATCTCTCACTTGTCAAACTGGACACCTAGGAAGAGGGAACCTCACGGCTGAGGACTTGCTGCCATCAGATGGGCCTGTGGACATGTCTATGGAGGCATTCTCTTGGTTGGTAATTGGTGTAGGCAGGCCCCATCCGCTGTGGGTGGTACATCCCTAGGTAGGAGGGCTTGGGTTGTACAATAAAGCCAGCTGATGGAGGGATGGGCAGCAAGCCAGGAAACTGTTCCTCCACGATCTCTGCTTCAGTTCCTGTCTCCAGATTCCAGCCTTGAGTTCTGCGTGTGGACTGTAACCTGTAAACCAAATAACTCTCCCTTCCCCAAGTCTCTTTTGGTCGGAGTGTCTTATCTCAGCAACAGAGAAGCAAACTAATGCAGGGATCAATTAGGCTGGGTGGCAGGATGTGAGTCAGGGCACCTGAGGCTGCCGAGGGAGGGTGGGGCTCCCTGGGAAAGGTGGAGCAGGGTCCTTGAGCAATCAGTCCTGCAGCTCCCTCTTTAATTTTTTTGAAATTACATTTATTTTATATTACGTCCTGTGTTTGTATTGTATGTGGGTGCAGGCATATAGATCTAAGGACAACTTGTGGAAGTCAGTTCTCTCCTTCTACCATGTGGGAACCAGGCATCCAACTCAGATGGTCTCCTTTGGGACAAAAGCAACTTTAGTCATGAAAAGTGACTTCCTGGTTTTGAAGCATACTCTCAGAACCTCCCCCCCCCCACCCCCCCCACCCCCGCCCCCACAGCCTGCTGAGCATCAAGAGCCCAGGACTTCTGTGTCCAGGGATCTTCGCTGTATTTGCTGAGGTTAAAAGCGCGGTCCTAAAGAAGGAGGTGGGCTATGATGTGTGTCAAGTGGCTAAGAGGAGCAGAAGAGGCATGGCTGCCACGTGGGAAGGAGGGCTCTATGTGCTTGGGTGGGCAGCCCTCCCTGAATCCTGGGACAACCTCTGGTGTCCTCCATATCCCACTGGGCAGACACCTACCTGGCTTGGAGGCTTGCATACCCCAGCAGAGGCCAGGTGCCATCCAAAGGCCCTGCACGGCTCTCACGGGTCCCGGGGTTGGGGAGACCCTACCACCCCCTCCAGTCGCCCACCCGCAGCCCCGCTCCGTCACGTTCCAGCCGCCTGACTCAGGCCGCGGGGCGGGGAGCCGGGAGGCGGTGCCGGCGCCCGCTCGGCCCTGGAGGCGGCACCAGGAAGCACCCGCCCCGGCCGGAGCCGCCATGTAACCGGCGCCGCCCGGAGCCCCAGCCGCGCGGGCCCCAGCGACCCGCCCGCCATGGGAGACGAGGATGAGGACGAGGGCTGCGCCGTGGAGCTGCAGATCACCGAAGGTGGGTGCGGGATCCTGAGGCGGCTGTCCCAGACGGGTGGCAAGAGTCAGCGACCCGCTGGGCTCATTCGCCCCCCCTGTGCCCGCAGCCAACCTGACTGGGCATGAGGAGAAGGTGAGCGTGGAGAACTTCGCGCTGCTCAAGGTGCTGGGCACGGGAGGTGAGGAACCGCGTTCACTGGGCCAGTGCCCCTGGCATGGTGCTTTGGGCCTTCTGCCCGCTCGCCCGCCTGGGCCTGGGCCTGGGCCTGGCTGCTGGGGAGGTCCCCCCACCCTTTCCCGGCACAGCTCCCCTTTCCCGCCCCGCCCTACCGTACCAGGGTTCCATGCCCACTTGCAGGGCGTCCAGGTTGACATCACTCCTCTCTGCAAAGTCCTGTGCGTGCATGCCCCCCTGTCGCGATTTCCTAGTCTCTTTGGGGGTTTGACTCTCTCCCAAGAGCTTTGCATAGCTTCTTCCCTTGTCCCCTTGCGAGCCCCACTCTTGTATTTTGCAAACCCCCAAGTCCGGGTTTGCACATCCCTCCGCTGTCTGGGAGCGCGCCTCTGCCTCCGGTGCCAGCGTTTTCATCCTTTCTCAGCTCTCTGATCGTCCCAGGTTTGCACGTGCCCCGCCCCCTCCCCGCCCCGCAGGCCTTCTGGAGTTGCAAGCTCCCCAGGCTAGCTTGCACTGCACTGCACTTAGCTTCTCAGGCTTAGCTGAGCACCCTCCCGGCAGGTGCTCACCTTTTCCTTAGAAGGCTCTGTCAGCCTTTTGCACCCCTGCACCCCTCTTCCCACCAGTCTGCACCGCCCTCACATTTACAGCCCACCTTCCATCCGCTTGCTTGCTGCTCCCACAGCCTACGGGAAGGTGTTCCTGGTGCGGAAGGAGGGTGGGCACGATGCGGGCAAGCTCTATGCCATGAAGGTGCTACGCAAGGCGGCGTTGGTGCAGCGCGCCAAGACGCAGGAGCATACCCGCACCGAGCGCTCAGTGCTGGAGCTGGTGCGCCAGGCACCCTTCCTGGTTACACTGCACTACGCCTTCCAGACGGATGCCAAGCTGCACCTCATCCTGGGTGAGGGCCTGTCACACCCTGGCTTTGGAGGGGGACGGAAGTTAGGTTAGGCTACCTTATAGGGGAACATCTCAATCTCTCCTGCACCCCTAGACTATGTGAACGGTGGCGAGATGTTCACTCACCTCTACCAGCGACAGTACTTCAAGGAGGCTGAGGTGCGAGTGTACGGGGGTGAGATTGTGCTGGCCCTGGAACACCTGCACAAGGTAAGAGAGGGCCTGGCTTCTGGTTGCTCTTTGGGTACTGCCCTGAGCCTGATGAGGGGCTTCCTGTTTGAGGAACCTGGGTGGGGACCTTGAAAGAATTGCTTGCCTTGGCCTCCGGGCTTGAAACAACACTACCTGGTAGGGTCTCCTGCCCCAGAACCTTTTGGAAGGGGCTTTCCTCTAACAGGAACTCAGATTTACCTTCACCGGACTTCCTCAAGTGGTGACCTCAGACCTCAGTCCCCAAAGCTTTTGAAATGGGGCTTTTTGTTCACATCAGTCCTCTTGGAGACCTTGGCCACAGGGCCTTTTTGCTTTATAACTTCAGTGGTTCCTTTCTATTCCTTTCTTATTTGTTTTTTTATTGTGTGTATGTGCGACATGTGTAGGTACATATATATAGTCACAGCATGTATGTGGGTCAGATTCTGTAACATCAGCTCTCTCCTTCCACCTTTACATGGGTTCTGGGGATCAAATTCAGGTTGTCAGCCTTTCCCGGCAAGTACTTTATCTGCTGAGCCATCTTGTGTAAGATCCCAGCATCTCATGTAGCCCAAGCTGGCCTTGAACTCCCTACGTTGTCAGGAATGACCTGGAACTTCTGATGCTGCGGCCTCTGTCTCACAATGCCCAGTTTTGTGTGGTTCTGGGGATCCAACCCAGGGCCTCATGCTGGGCAAGCACTCCACTAACAGCTCACACCCCGCCGCCGCTGCCCTTTCTTCTTCTTCCTTTTTTGGTTGGTTTTGTTTTGTTTTAGACAGGGTCTCACTCGGTAGCCCAACTCTCCTGGTAATCGCTGACTAGCCAGGCTGGCCTCCTGCCGTAGCCTCCTGTGTCCTAGGATGACAGGTGTGACTGTACATGCCTGGGTCCAGTGGCTTTTCTAATGGCCAGCTCTGCCTGGGCTTGGTCCTGCCCTGGAGATCACCCTGCAGGCTAAAGATCTTCAAGATGCCTCTGTATCCCAAGTGAGGACCCACAGGGCTATGGCGGTGTCGGGTGTCTATTAGGGCAACACTCAGTGTTCCTTTTCTTCTGCCAGCTGGGCATCGTCTACCGTGACCTGAAGCTAGAGAATGTCTTGCTTGACTCGGAAGGTCACATCGTCCTCACAGACTTTGGGCTAAGCAAGGAGTTTCTGACAGAGGAGGTGAGTGGATGGTGAGCGTGGTCCACGGTGCTCCCAGCCAGGCCTTTGTCCTGCTCCCTCCAGATCAGCACCCTGGGGGCTGAGAGTGGATGGCTACAAAGGTTCCCACTGTTTCCCCAGGATCA